ATTAAACAAATCAAACAAAAAATTGAACAAGAAATATGTAGTGAAATGCCAAATGCTTTATGGACTAGAAAAAAACATATTGTAGGATTACCATATGAACCTGGATTTGAAGAAACAAAAATACCAACTAAGGCGAGACCCGTGTAGATGAATTTTACTTTATTGGAAACTTGCCAAAATGAAATAAAAGAATTATTAGCTAAAAATTTAATAAGACCAAGTACATCTCCATGGAGTTGTGCTGCTTTCTATGTAAATAAAAATGCTGAAAAAGAAAGAGGTGTCCCAAGGGTAGTTATCAATTATAAAACATTAAATAAAGTCATCCAATAGATACGATATCCAATCCCAAATAAAAAAGATCTATTAGATCGATTAGCCACTGCTACAATCTTTCCTAAATTCGATTTAAAATCAGGATACTGGCAAATACAAATTAAAGAAGAAGACAAGTACAAAACTGCATTCAATGTTCCATTCGGACAATATGAGTGGAATGTAATATCATTCGGACTCAAAAATGCCCCATCAGAATTTCAAAAGATTATGAATGAAATATTTAATCCATATTACAAATTTATGATTGTCTATATTGATGATGTTTTAGTATTCTCTGAAAATATAGAACAACACTTCTAACACATTAATGTTTTTATAAATACAGTCAAATATACAGGACTCGTAGTCTCTACAAAAAAGATTAGTCTATGCCAAACTAAAATTAGATTTTTAGGACATTATATTCATTATGGGACAATTATTCCAATAGAAAGATCTATTCAATTTGCCGACAAATTTCCAGATATTATATTAGATAAAACTGAACTACAACGATTCTTAGGATGTTCAAATTATATTGTAGATTTTTATGAGAATCTAGCAATAGATGCTAAACTTTTGTATGACAGACTCAAAAAGAATCATCCGAAATGGACAAACGAACATACTCAAGCTATAAAAAAGATTAAACTCAAAGCAAAAGAATTACCCTGCTTAATTTTGGCTCATCCTAATACTTTAAAAATCATCGAATGTGATGCCTCTGAATTAGGATTACGAGGTATATTAAAATAACGGCTTAATAATACTGAACAATTAGTACGTTATACTTCTAAAGCATGAAATTCTACTCAACAAAATTATTCGACAGTCAAAAAAGAACTTCTTGCTATTGTACATTGTGTCACTAAATTCCAAAGTGATATATTAAATACTCATTTTCTTATTAAGACTGATTGCAAAGCTGCAAAAGATATTCTTGAAAAAGATGTGTAAAATTTGGTTTCGAAACAGATATTTGTTCGTTGGCAGGCCATTCTATCTTCTTTCGATTTCTCTATTGAACATCTAAAAAGTTCTGCTGACCATCTTCCTAATTTTCTCACCCGTGAATTTTTGCAAGGAGGGCAACATTGATCATTTTGATCCACCGGAACTATCTTTGCCTTTAATATTATTTAATAAGAATAGAGCTATTGAGAATCAGATCATGAATACTAATACTGTACAATCCAAAGGGAAGGCTCCCATGGAAACATCATTAGATATTGTTCCTGTGCAATCTCCAAACAGAAGCCTGACCCCATATTCACCTAGTATCCCAAATAGTCCTTCAAATTATCCACAATATTCCAGTCAAGTACCACTATCTCCTCAAACTCCATTATTTATCCAATCTCCAACCATTAGAAAACCCACAACCACGAATAAGTCTCCATATGAAAATATCTCTTTCATTGTAGATGCCATAATTGAAAATATCCATGCCTCAGAAGACCCAAATACTGTAGCCAGATACTATCTGTGCAATAATTTGAACCCCTCTAATGGCATGAAAACAAGAGAGTGGTTTGAAATGATTCTACTTGAAACAGGTTCGATATATTTGACACACTATTATCATAAGAATTCGAAAATTGTATCATATTCTAAATTGCAAATAAGAAAAATATTAAGTTTCAGTGAATGGGGTTCAGACCCTTCTCGCTCAAGAAAATTACAATCTCCTGATTTCCCAAATAAACATTACCGATATTCAGATTATATTGATGCCTGGCACCGTATACTCACCATTCAAAGCCAATACAATTCCCATACATGGTTCCTCCAATTCAAAATGGCAGTAACCGAACCTTTCCCTAATTGGTTCCAAAATTGGTTCACAATTTAGGGCTCTCTATCCCAAATAATAACAGACACCTTGCAAGCATCCCAAGAAAAATTTATTGAGCATAACGGAAAAGATCCCAAGACAAACTATCATTTATACTTTGTTGCTTTGTACCAAATACCTTGGATCCTCAAATGGTCTTTTGCTATATCTGATAATAATAAATAATTATGAATATATTCCATGTCTTGGAAAGCAGATTGCTGTAAAATGGTGGGACGTCTTTGTCTACCACAATTTAGACCCATAGCATATTATACTTAAACAAGTCCCAATTGGTTTTAAACCTTCTTATTTTAACCCAAATAATTTGTCCGAATATATATCTCAAATGAGAAAACAAAATCCTCAAGCCACCAGAGCCGAGCTTGAAAAACAATTGTATGAAATCTTTACAGAAGAAGCAGAAACAACTCGGGATACAGATACCACTGATACCCCAGCAGAGGAGGACCAGTCTGCTCACGGAATGTCCCAAAAACAATCATTGTATTAAAAACTCAATAAGCATACCTTTATATATGATATGACAAAAGATGCCATGATATGACAAAAGATGCCTTGATATGCCCTATGATAAGACAAGATGCCTTGCTGATATGACAAGATGCCCTGCTGATATAACAAGATGCCCTGCTGATATAACAACAAATGCCTCACCGACACCCTCTCCGACATTCATCCATATAAGACAAAAACCCCAACAGTAAAAGCAAAGATTCCCTGTCCAATCATCCACAACTAGAGGTCCACGCATTTGGAGATACTGTTTACCTGTCTAATCATTGCCGTCCAAGCATTGCTTTCCCCTTACCTATCGCCATCCAGCCTGCGAAGCAATTATCCAAGAGATTCTTAAAATTATACATTCCAGTTGATTAATCAGTGAAGTCCAAAGCCTATAAAAGGCATGAAGCCCCTGCCAGAAGATCATCCCCAGGAATCAGACAGATAGCATTCTTCGAGAGTTCACTTAAGAATCCTGCCTTTTTCTCATTCTCATATAAAAATTAGATGTAATAGGTGTGATTGTAATTACGCTTCTCTAACAAGTCACTGTCCAGCCGAGTGAAAGTCTTTTTGCAGTTATTGTATCTGTACTCTGTAAGTTTTCTTACTTCTGTCTGTAAACAGTATGTTATCAGTTGTCTGTAAACAGTATGTTATCAGTTTACTTCTGTCTGTAAATTTTATGTTATCAGTCGAATACAAGTTTTCTTATATAATATGTTCTTATCAGTTGTCCTAGAAACAGTTAATTGTATTAAGTTGTTATGTTACTAAGAATTGTTTTTAGTATCAAGGTTTATCAAAATACTTATTTTACTTGGTTAATTATAGATATAGCCTCCTTTTCCGTACTCATAATAATCTTAATATTACTATATCTAGGTTATGCAAGATTAGTTTAGAACGTAGAATTATCATAGAATTATCAGATGAGCCCAACGGGCCAGATTCAATCTGGGCTGATCTGACCGTCAAAACCTCATTTCATATTTGAATTTTAAATTTTTTTTTATAAATTTTCAAATCATTTGAAATTTTGGACGTGTATTCTTTAAAAATAGGAGAATCTAATAAAAATATCAAAAAAATAATTTACAAAAAATAAATTGACCAAAATATCCTAAAAACTTTTCAAGGGTACTTTGGTTAATTTATTTTTTTAGAATTATGTTTTTTTAATATTTTTCTTAGTTGTGCCTTGATGAGAAGAATGGAAGCATAAAATTTCAATTGATTTGGATTTGTAAAAAAAAAACCTAAAATTCAAATATGAAATGAGATCGTGACCTTCAAATCGGCCCAGATTGAATTTGGGCCATTGGATTCTTTTGTAGCTGTGAGCTAG